TGTGAGTGTGTGTGTGTGTGTGTGAGTGTGTGTGTGTGTGTGTGAGTGTGTGTGTGTGTGTGTGAGTGTGTGTGTGTGTGTGTGAGTGTGTGTGTGTGTTATCTTTAACAAAGAAAGTAAAAACCTTTCAAATGTCCCTTGCCCCTTCATTGGCAAATGTTTGCTGCTCATGGATTTAACCACCATACTGCCCAGCAGAGGCGACCCAGAGCTTGAAGGATTGCTCAGGGCTGACTGATCCTTCCATAAAAGGCAGCTCTTGCGGATCCAAATGTTAGGAGCTCCGTTGCTGGCCTTCATCAAAGATGGTATGGCAGGAAAACACATATCCCAGGAGTCTGAGTGGATGGGTTATTCAAGGTTGACTGAAAATTGGATCCAGCTTCCTTCTGCACAAAGTAAGTAATGCGGAGCAGCGTCTCCACCCAGATAAGTCTCCCCCTTTGTTGTGCTAGAGCCGAATGACACCAATCCTTAATAATTATTCCAATGTGTTAGGTTTTTTAAATTACTACATTCTGTTCAATAAAATAAAGGGGAAGTGGGGGGGTGGAGGACTCAAAGAAATGGTGTTCCGGGGCCATCAGGATGGCTCAGCAGGTAAGGGCACTGGATGCCAAGCCTGGTGGCCAAGTCGGATGTGCAGAACCCACATGGTAAAAGTAGAGAACAAACTCCTGAAAGCTGTCCTCTAATATTCTCTCCCCCCTTACCCACATACACACATACACACACACACACACACACACAATGCTGTTCAGACACAGCCCCGTGTGACACTGTTCAAACTGAGGATTACGCCTGCCTGCACTGTACTAGAACTGAACAAACTCCTGTTGGTCTCCGAGCTGAGTATACAGATTAATTAGGAAAAGCTGACATCTTCCTGTGTTGGCTCTTCATGTCAGAAACAGCACATCTGTCTGTCAGTACTTTTCTGTTTGCATCCAACAGTAGCACATCAATGTTTTCTCGCCCTTTCTTGTCTAGTTTATTTCTAGGTGTGTTTATCCCTATTAAGTGCTATAGGAATGAGACAATTTAATTTATTTTTTCTTTTGTCTTATTTATTGGATTTTTCAAGACAGGGTTTCTTTGTATAGCCCTTGGCTGTCCTGGAACTCACTCTGTAGACTAGGCTGGTCTCAAACTCACAGAGATCTGCTTGCCTCTGCCTTCTGAGTGATGGGATTAAAGATGTGTACCACCACCTAGCTTAGGAAGAGGGAATCTTAATTGAGGAAATGCCTCCATAAGATTGGTCTGTAAGCCGGGTGTTGGTGGCACACGCCTTTAATCCCAGCCCTCAGGAGGCAGAGGCAGGCAGATCTCTGTGAGTTCAAGACCAGCCTGGTCTACAAGAGCTAGTTCCGGGATAGGCTCCAAAGCCACAGAGAAACTCTGTCTCGAAAATCTGTAGGTAAGTCTGTGGTATTAATTAGCAAATGATGTGGGGGAGGCCCAGCTTACTGTGGGCAGTGCCACCTTTGGGCAGGTGGTCCTGGGGAGTATAAGAAAACAGGCTGTGCAAGCCATAGAAACAAGCCAGTAAAGCAGCAACCCTCCATGCCCTCTGCTTCAGATCCTGCCTGTGGTCCCTGCCTTGAGTTCCTGACCTGGCTCCCTCAGTGATGGATTTATGAGCTGTAAGCTGAAATAAACTCTTTCCACCCCAAGTTGTTTTTGGTCATGATGTTTTATCAAAACAACAGACTCTGCTGGGTGGTGGTGGCACATGTCTTTAACCCCAGCACTCAGGAGGCAGTGGCAGGCGGATCTCTGGGAGTTTGAGGCCAGCCTGGCCTTCAAAGATACACAGTGAAACCCTGTCTCGAAAAACAAAACAAAACAAAAAAACCAAAACAGAAAAACAACAACAACAAAAACAAAACCAGAATCCTAACTGGGACAAATAACAAAACCAAAAAACCACAACAAACAAACAGCACACATGTTGGGGCTATAGAGATGGCTCAACTATTGAGAACTTGCTACCCTTGCAGAAGACCCAGGTTTAATTCCAAGCACCTACATCAGGCAGCTCACAATGGCCTGTTGCTCTTGCTCTAGTGGATTGGATGCCTTCTGTTGGCCTCTCTGGACACTGCATGCACAGGGGCCACATACAGACAAGCAAGCACTCAGGGTTACATACATAAAAAATAGCTTTCAAAAGTGTAAGCACACACATAACATCACACCTGTGCATGTTTGTTCCACCACTACTGTCCCTTGCATTTAGCATATTCTCATTCAATGGGAATTTCAGTCGATGTGTTGATTTTGCTACATTAAGGAAGTATCTGTGTCTTAGCATTTCATCAAGATCAGACGGCCAGTGAATGAAGAGATGTAAATAGAGAGGCCGGGCAGAAACTACTGCAGCAGGGTGATGGTTGAGGGGATGACCGGGGGTACCGTGCGGGGTGAGTCAGCAGACTGTCAGATGAGCTGGCATCCGGTCTCCCATTCATGGATTTGGACTGGTGGTTTGTTAAATTAATCTGAGCCGCACTTTCAAAGTTCACATTTGGAAGACATTAAGTATTTTCTATGTAGCCGTCATTTTGAGATAAAAGAGCAAACAAAAACAAACTTGGTTGAGAATGTCCTGGAGTTTGTGCAATAGTTGCAGAGGGATTAGCACTAAAAGCACAGAACCGGGGTCTGATTCAGGCTTGAAGGTCAGGAAATGCCTCCTAGAGGAAAGTTATCATGCAACCTGAAGAGTAATGAAAAGTTTCCCCAGGGAGAGACGAGGAGACGAGGGAATGGTTTGTAAAGGCCCTGCGGTGGAAGGGACACTTTGCCTGGTGCTAGAGAGCTTGGTTCCAGGGAGCTGAAACAGGAGGCAGGTTGTTCAGACACACACTGTAGTGAGAATTTGAACTTCACCCTGGGAGCCATGAGAGGCCACTAATCTTTTTCCAATGTAGCAAAAGGCATAAAGTGTACCAATGTTCAAGTGAGAGACAGAAAGGCGGGTGACGGGGGTCTAGCAGGTTAAAACACTTGCCTTGGTGCATATGCCCAGCTGCTGAGCCTTTTCTCCAGAAAAACTTTAGTGTAAAAAAATTATAAAGACTGTTACAATGTTATACTCATGTAAGTATTCAGAAGATATGATTTCAGTCCCTTGACACTCAGTAATTCCTCCCCGCCCCCCAACACACACACACACCTAGGCTGGGTTTTTCTGTGAAGCTCTGGCGGTCCTGGAACTCACCTTGTAGATCAGGCTGGCCTTGAACTCACAGAGATCTGCTTGCCTCTGCTTAGGGATTAAAGGCACGTGCCACCACCATCTGGCTCGGTAATTCTTTTAAGATTGGAAAAATGTATTTTTAATTATGTGTGGGTGTTTGTGTCTAATGTGGGCATGTGCATGCAAGTCCAGGTGCCCACTTAGGCCAGAGGCATCAGGGTCCCTGGGCTGGGGGTACAGATGCTTGTGAGCCGCCTGACACCAATGCTGAGAATCTTTTCCTCTGGAAAAGCAGCCAGTGCTCTTAACTTCAGAGCTGTCTCTCCAGCCCCATGCCTCAATAATTCTCATTGCTGGAACCCTAGTCTATATTCTAGGGGACACGTGATATCTGGGTTTAGGGTAGCCTACAGAGAGATCCACTTTTTCTCTTCATCTGGTATTGAGGGGGGAACCCAGGTTGCATGCTAAACAAACATTCTACTACTGAGTTACAACCCTAACCTAGTGATTTTTTTTTATAAAGTGTTAAAATTATTATCACACTGCCCAGACTAGTTTCACATTTGTGATCCTCCTGCCTCAGTCTCCTGAGTAGCTGGAATTCAAAGTGTGCAACCACTTCAAGCTTTTAAAATTCATTTTATCTTTTTTATTATTTATTATTATTTTTACACACAGTGTGGTCATTAGACAACTTTGTAGAGTTGGTTCTCTTCTTCTACTTTTTTTATGTGGGTTCCTGTGATGGGACTCAGGTTGGCAGGCACCAGGCTTATACGGTCAGTGCCTTAACCTGGAGTTATCTTGTTGGCCCTTTATTTTTATTTTTCGGTTGTTTGTTTTGTTTTGTTTTTTGGTTTTTGTTTTTTTTTATTTTTTATTTTTCGAGACAGGGTTTCTCTGTGTAGCTTTGGAGCCTATCCTGGCACCCTCTCTGGAGACCAGGTTGGCCTCAAACTCATAGAGATCCGCCTGCCTCTACCTCCTGAGTGCTGGGATTAAAGGCATGTGCCACCAACGCCCGGCCTTTTATGATTAAATGTTTTTTTTTTTTCTTTCAAGACAGGGTTTCTCTGTTCTGGAGCCTCTCCTGGAACTAGCTC